CAGGTTAGGATAAAACTAGTGATTTACTTCGTTTAGAAGGTATATGTTAAACTTGGAGTTTAGCTAGAATAGTGGTTAAGGAACTCGTAGAGAGTCATACGAATAGCCTGTATCCAGATAATACAGTGTTCATATACTATTGAATTTATGAAGCCTCTATGACTGGAATATTGTAAATAAATAGCTCTTGTGTAATTGTTACATCACTGGCCTTGTTCTTGATTACGATTGAAGAGAGATACGAACTATATTCATTCACTTGGCCGACTTAGGCACATCTATTTCTTGGGGGATGTATAGGCACGACTGTGCCACAAGTGATGAGGATATTTGGAGCCGTGACCAACGATCAGTCTTGTGTACTCGACATCTTTAAAAAACAAGACTGCTGTTACAACATAACAAATAAGCAACTGCTATAAAAAGGTGAACTAAAAGCAAGTTTATGATTGTACCTGCTGAGTAAAACAAAAAAGTCGATAAACCCGTCATCAGATTGGAGAGACGTAAACCAGACCAACAGCCTGCACCACCTTTTGGAGCCAACCGTCTACACTAGAATCAGGGGGACACGCCCGTTCTAGCCTGGAGTAAACCGTCTACACTAGAATCAGGGGGACACGCCCGTTCTAGCCTGGAGTAAACCGTCTACACTAGAATCAGGGGGACACGCCCGTTCTAGCCTGGAGTAAACCGTCTACACTAGAATCAGGGGGACACGCCCGTTCTAGCCCGGAGCAAACCGTCTACACTAGAATCAGGGGGACACGCCCGTTCTAGCCCGGAGCAAACCGTCTACACTAGAATCAGGGGGACGCGCCCGTTCTAGTCTGGAGCCATATATAAACTTTTCCTAACTTTACACACTCGGAAGATTATAGGAAAGTCAAGAACTGTGAGCTGTCCGATTTTACAAATAGGAACTGCAAAATAAGCGCGATTTTAAAGAACCTTGAACATTAACATTAATTAGTTTAAATATATTGTGATTTTCAATTTACAGTGGTGTAGGGAAAACCTTTTCTTATCTTTCCCTACCTTTCCTATTAACTTAGAAAATAATTCCAGGACAGTGCCGATTTTTAATTACAGTGTGTTGTGAAAAGAGAATTTTTTTTTTTTCAGACCGCACTCAACAAGGTAATTTGACATTTTCTGTTTTTTCAATTTTAATTTACTTGCATTAGATTAATTTCCCAGATTTTTTAAAAATGGCAGAACAGGGAACAGTAGAAGCCCAGTTCAGCAGAGTTTTAGGAGAAGTCAGCAAGGCTGTCTCCAGATTAGATTGTAGCGTTCGGAGACAGGGAATAACAGGGGTTATTGAACCTTTCAGGGGAGACACAAAAAAGTTTAAAAAGTGGGTAAACGAGATAGAAAAGTATGCTTTCCTTTCAGGTGCGACAAGTTTCGACATCAAACGTTTAGCATACCAGATGAGTTCTTCCCCGGTTTCAGAACACATAAGAAGAAGATTAGAGCAGAATGAAGAAGAAACATGGGAAGAACTGAAAAGAGACTTAGCACAAAATTTCAGCGATGTCACAGACAGACAGATGGCCTTTTCCCTCTTACGACAGATCAAACAGGGCAAAGATGAGAGCGTACAGAATTATTCGCAGAGAATACAGAGTCTCGCGCAAGATGCATTTCTTAAAGAAGAGATACAATCACAACAAACTCAGCTTATTTTAGTTTCAGTCTTCAGTGACAGTTTAAGGGACTGTTCACAAAAACTTCGTTTATTGCGTTCTGGGCCAACAACTCTAGAACAGGCAGTAGCCATAACTCTTAAAGAAGAGAGTTTAAGACGAAAAGTGTTCCTTCAAACTGGACGAAGAACAGAAGAAGAAGAAGATATTAGGTTGACGGAACCCATGGACATATCACATTTTAGACCACACAGAGAAAGACACACAAATGAGAGACACAGACACTCTAACATACAGGCAGTGCAACACACTTTAACGTGTTATAACTGTTCAGGTTCCCATAAAGTCCGATTTTGCCCGGCAGGTAACCGACCCACAACACAGCCGATAAACCGACCGCTCGTTAACACAGATTTCAGAGGTGAAAGGTCGTGGCAGGTCAGTCGCAGAAGTCAGGGACTTAACACACAAAATAACGGCGGCTGGAGAAACCATTATTCGGGAAACGCGCAATCCGCTCGCTGGCCGGGGCACAGCTGAGCGACGGACGAGACATAGCCTCTAAAAGTTCAGTAAGACACAAGAGAGATAACGAAATAAATAGGCAGAAGAGAGTTACAAACCATAGACAGATTAATGCATCAGGCAGCCCGTGTTGCTGTTTAATAGAAATCAACAATAATAAGTTTAATAGTCTGGTGGATTCAGGAGCAGATTTGTCACTTCTAAATTACTCGGTATTTAAGAGGATTAGAGGTAGTATAGAGTTACATCACACAAAAGAGAACTTACAGTCTGTCACCGGAGCCAGCCTATCAGTTTTAGGTAAAGCCATGATTCCGTTTTCCATCGGTGGTATACATATGACACATCCTTTTATCATAGTAAAAACAATGAACCGTCATTTAATTATAGGACGGGACATATTAGTTAAACATGGCATAAGGCTATATTTTGACCTTAAAAAGCTTAGAATTAGAGATAGGTACGTAGATCTTAGAGATGACATTCACGTTGCTTCGGTGGTACGTGCTAAACAAACAGTCATCCTAAAACCTAATTCAATCAACGTAGTGATGTCGGGTTTAAAAAGAAACCCATATTTCCTGCCAGGTCAAACTATTCGAACAACAGCGCTTCAGGAAGCACTGTTAAACGAACCGTGCTTATCAACTACAGATGGCATTGTAACGTTAGGTAAAAGACTTTGTTTTCCGGTCCTTATCACAAACGCGACAGGGAAAACCGTAAAATTAAAAAAAGGAAATATTGTAGCTAACGTAGATAGAGATATTCTAGAGGTAAATAGTTCAACGGGAGAGGCACCGAGAGGAAGGAATAGCTATAAAATAGCAACTGTTACTACACATAAAGTCGATGCTAATCGATTTACCTTTTTCCCCGGTAGGCGAAAATATGATAACGAGAGAGCACACTACAATATAGATAAGCAGAGTTTCAGACCACAGAGACCGAATCCATACCATGACATTCAGGGTCAACTGAGGTCATGTGTACAAAACGGAAGTGGGCAAATAATTAACTTTAACAGAGCTGAGCGTTTACAAAAATTAGAAAATAACAGAAATATCAGAGCACAGGAGCAGTGGAGTAATTTTGGTAACAGATATCAGAACATTAATAGAGTAGGAAATATCCATGATAATAACCGAAGTCGCGTTAGGTCATGTAATTCAGATCCCAGATTCCGCATGATGAGCACTAATCAAACCAACAAATTCAAAAGAGACAGGTTAAGAAAATTAGGCTACAATAAGAATATAAGATTGCAAAACTTAGGAAATAATCGCGAGGTCAGTAACTTTAACGGGGTTTGGCAGACAGGTAATAAAAGCACGTGCGCTGCGGATGATGAGACAAACAGATTAGAAGTAAGAGGGTTAAAAGAGAGGAATCCCATGAAACGGTTTAATAAAAGCTACATTAACGAAGTAAATGCGGTAACTGTAAACGGGACACGCCGTCAATTTTTTAAAGAAGAAGGGAACATAGAGACACATAAAGAGTTAATACCGGCTAAAGTTAAGTCGGAACAAGAAGAAGATAAAGAGGGTTGTTTAGCAATGGAATGGTTATGGGAAGTAAACGCGGTAGGAGTAAAAAGGCTAGATAGCAATAGCACACATAGGAAAGTAGAGAGGGTAGGGACAATTAAAGAAATAAATCAGCAGGGTTTGTCTTATAGACAGGTGATGCCTACAGAAGAAGAAGGTGAAGGAATAAATACATTACCGTTTGTAGTTAGTAACATAAAGGTAGATCTATTCTCCGAAAACTACGACGCAGATAGTGAAATTGGGATCACAAACAAAACGGGTCGTAGAATTTTAGTCGCGGTTAGAACCAGGACTAATACTCCGTCTAGTGTGAAAGAATTAAAACCGTCAGAAGTACCAGTTAAAGGTACATGTAATAGTAGAAGAGAAGAAGAAGAAACAGTAGAAACTTCGCCTAACAAAAGAGCAAAACAGGAGACAAGAATGTCGGGCATTAAAAATTCGCACACCGATTTAAACGAGCGGCATGGTTTACAGGAAAATAAAGATGCGAGAAAATCAAATGTATTAGATGGAAATTTACACGGAAATAAAAGTAGCCAGACGTGTCGTAATGAAGTGGCATCTACCGAATATAGCAAAATTAATAAGTTGTTCCACTTTATTTCAGAGCTCTGGAGCGTCTAATAAATGGCATACACGACACCTTTTAGTATAATTAAGGCGAACACATGTGTACGATGCATAACTTGATTTACAAGAAAATACGTTAAATACACACAGAAACAGGATCATACTGATATCTGGATTATGCATATTGATGGGACTTATAACTTTTCTTTATTTGCGAAGGAAAGGCATTAAATGTACAAAAGTAACTAATCATTTAATAAAAGAAAAAACACAGATCACTAATAAGACAGAAGAAGAAATAGAACTAGAACAATTAGCATCCACTACAGTTAGTAGGCCAGAATCACCAGGGGGTAGACTGAATTTATACCCTGAGTAAACCATACAATAATTACAGCTCCCCCCCCCCACCCTTTTACGTACGTTATATTGCTGTGTACAGAGGTACCGCGCTCGCTACACATATTCTGTTGTTGTGTCTACATGTCATTTGTCCGACAAGATTAAATATATACCGTTGTTTTGTCTTTACCATTTAATATTTACATTTGGTTCTGCACTATGAACGTTTTTTTATCGTGTTGTACTCTCTCGGAAAAGTGAAAATCCACACGTTCGGTTGTGGGTAAAGATTACAATACCTACATGTTTTATGTTCGCTAAGAGAGTTACCACAAAACCTCTCTTATACATTCTGTCAGAATGATGACTGATTTGAGTTTAACCAGACTTTACTGAGGTACACAGTTAGAAACGTACTTGGCGATAAGCCAGTCCAAAGCATGACATGATTGGTAACTGAATATAGGCCGGCTATTTCTTTACAGAAGATGCGATATGCATTAAACAGAGGAAGCAACCTCTTAGGGAAGCAACAATAAACCCTGTGGATTATCACAGTAGATAAATGCCTGTAAATACAGGTGGTGGCATTGTACATTCGACTTGAGGAAATGCTACTATTGTTTCCGAGAAATTTCTCTCCAATTAATATACCTAACGGTATAAGAATTATTTATACTCTGTAAAGGTTATACCTTATTATTCACTCTAGGTTGACTTTCTCAGTGATTCTATTTTCATCCTTTCTTGGGGAGATGACATTTTCGAGTTTTATTTTATAGATAACTGGGGATACATGGCATGTCATTTCTTGTATACAATGTTTTCAGGTTTGAGTTTATAAAGGAAGAATACAGATACTATTCCTTTATACTTCAGACAACTCCGCACATTCATTAGGGATACCAGTGAATAAGAGGTTGTTATGCTAATACAACGAGGGAGTTGTATCGTTTTTTTTTATGTCTTTAGAATTATTGACTATTAGTTATTGTATGCATGTCACGTTTTCATTATTCTGCATGAATTTTATGATGTTACTTGTTATGTTGTATGCTTTCATTACGTGGCTAGATGTTCACATAAGGTTTAGTTAGGTAGCGGGTATAATTAGAGTAGTTTTTATAAAATTGAAGATATGAAACAATTTTGTTAAAAAGTGTGAAGGGCGAATGTAATGAAATATAGGCAGAAAGGGGTTAAATGAACAAGCATACATTTCAGACCACCACACGGCGTACTAATCCATCACTGTGTGAAATGACAGAAATAGGTGATTAGAAAGCCATGGCCTAGCCAGCTATGCAGAACACACCGCCATGACATCTGACAGTGAGGGATGAAACATTCGACGAGTGCCCGTGAACTGTGACCAGCGGATGAGATACGTTCATCCAGACGTGACCACCAAAGACAGGTGACAGAGAAGTGATGGAGAAGGTACGCCAGGAGGAGCGGGAAAGCGGGAATAAAGTCAGAGCCAGGGGCTTGAGAAGTTAGTTAGCCCCGGGACCGCTTGAGAGGTTAGTTAGTCCCGGAACCGCTGGAGAGGACAGTTAGCCACGGAACCGCTTGATAGGACAGGTTAGGAGAAAACTAGTGATTTACTTCGTTTAGAAGGTATATGTTAAACTTGGAGTTTAGCTAGAACAGTGGTTAAGGAACTCGTAGAGAGTCATACGAATAGCCTGTATCCAGATAATACAGTGTTCATATACTATTGAATTTATGAAGCCTCTATGACTGGAATATTGTAAATAAACAGCTCTTGTGTAATTGTTACATCACTGGCCTTGTTCTTGAGTACGATTGAAGAGAGATACGAACTATATTCATTCACTTGGCCGACTTAGGCACATCTATTTCTTGGGGGATGTATAGGCACGACTGTGCCACATCCACCACCCACAATGACAAATCCACCACCCACAATGACATATCCAGAACTCACACTGACATATCCACCACTCACAGTGACATATACACCACCCACAATGACATATCCACCACCCACAATGACATATCCGCCCCTCAAAATGACATATCCACCACCCACAATGACATATCCACCACCCACAATGACATATCCACCACCCACAATGACAAATCTACCACCCACAATGACATATCCAACACCCACAATGACAAATCCACCACCCACAATGATATATCCACCACTCACAGTGGCATATCCACCACCCACAATGACATATCCACCACCCACAATGACATATCCACCACTCACAGTGATATATCCACCACTCACACTGACATATCCACCACCCACAATGACATATCCACCATCAACAATGACACATCCACCATCCACAATGACATATCCACCATCCACAATGATATATCCACCACCCACAATGACATATCCACCACTCACAATGACATATCCACCACCCACAGTGACATATCCACCACCCATAATGACATATCCAAAACCCACAATGACATATCCACCACCCACAATGACATATCCACTAACCACAATGACATATCTACCACTCACAGTGACATATCCACCACCCACAATGACATATCCACCATCCACAATGACATATCCACCACCTACAGTGACATATCCACCACCCACAATGACATATCAACCACCAACTAGGACATATCCACCATCCACAATGACATATCAACCACTCACAGTGACATATCCACCACCCACAATGACGTATCCACCATCCACAGTGACATATCCACCACCCACAATGACATATCCACAATCCACAATGACATATCCACCATCCACAATGACATATCCACCACCCACAATGACATATTCACCACCCGCAATGACATATCTACCACCCACGGTGACATATCCACCACCCACAATGACATATCCACCACCCACAATGACATATCCACCACCCACAATGACATATTCACCACTCACAGTGATATATCCACCACTCAGAGTGACATATCCACCACCCACAATTACATATCCACCCCCCACAATGACATATCCACCACCCACAATGACAAATCCACCACCCATAATGACATATCCACCACCCACAATGACAAATCCACCACCCACAATGACATATCCACTATCCACAATGACATATCCATCACCCACAATGACATATCCACCACTCACAATGACATATCCACCACACACAATGACATATCCACCACTCATATTGATATTATCCCATACAACAGTATCATATCTATCACACATACACACAATTTCATATTCCCCAAACCCAGTTGGTAATCTTCCCCCCCCCCCCCCCCCCTATTACCCATTATGTATATCCCACATATAATGATATTTTTCCGTACACAGGGTGACACATCTGTCACACACAACGACATGCCCACCAGAAACACAATGACATACTCGTCACACAATGACATAACGTAAATGCAAACTAACATATTCACAACCTCCCATCTACACACACAGATGGAGGGAGGGAGAGAGATAACATACCTTGTCTGGAGAAAGATAACATATCTTGTTTGGGGAGAGATAACATACCTTGTCTGGAGAAAGATAACATATCTTGTCTGGGGAGAGATAACATACCTTGTCTGGAGAGAGATAACATACCTTGTCTGGAGAGAGATAACATACCTTGTCTGGAGAAAGATAACATATCTTGTCTGGGGAGAGATAACATACCTTGTCTGGAGAGAGATAACATACCTTGTCTGGGGAGAGGCTGTCTGGCAAGATGAGATTGCTTGCGTCAGGGAAATCTGGCAATAAGGTACCCGTCTTGGAGCTCAGCGAGTACTTTCTGCACGAGCCCTGTCGGTATAGGTAGTATTAGGTGTAAGTAGTGTGTGTGAGTCAGCAGAAAAATTTTTCAAAGTAGTTAAAAATATGCGGAAAAGAGATGAGAGCTACAACCCCACTGAAATAATAAATGATACGACAGGAAGGCCATTGATAGATCCCCCTTAGATAGCAGAAAGATGGAGGGAATACTTCAATGAGCTCTTAAATCCTCTAGGAGATCATCAGGAAAGAACAACTGAAGAGCACAGAGCAACAGTGTTAGAACCACACATACTAATGGATGAAATAGAAAAAGTCATTAAACAGGCTCCCAAATATAAAGCACCAGGAGCTGATAGATTACCAACAGAAATAATTCAAGCAGCAGGTGAAAGCAGCATCAGATGGCTTCACAGAATATTCAATGCAGCATGGGTACAACAAACGGCCCCTATTGATTGGCAACATGCAATAGTTATACCATTGTGGAAGAACAAAGGAAGCAAACGAGAATGCGGTCAATACCGAGGCATCTCTCTTTTAAGCCATGTTGGCAAAATGTATGCCAAGATAATAGAAACAAGACTGAGACCAGTGATAGAACCACAGCTGGCAGAAGAACAGATGGGATTTAGGAGAAATAGAAGCTGCACAGATGCAATCTTCACACTTAAACAGTTAATAGAAAAAAACATTGAATACAATAAGAACTTATTTGTGGCATTCCTAGACCAGGAGAAGGCATTTGACAGAGTCGACAGACAATTATTATGGAAAATAATGGCAAGATATGGAGTAAGCAAACACCTCATCGAAGTGTGCAAAAGTTTATACAGGGATTGTAGAAGTGTAGTTAGAATATATCAGGGAACATGTCATCCTTTCACAGTGACACCTGGAGTAAGACAGGGGTGTGTCTTATCACCACTGCTGTTTATCACCTACATCGACAGTATATGCAAGAATGCCAAGCCCATGAATGAAGATCTTAGTAAGATCAACGAATTACTCTTTGCAGATGACCAGGCCTTGATAGCAGGTACAGCCATGAAATTGCAACAACATCTAACATCCATGAATGAAGAATGTAAAACAAATAATATGAAAATCAACACTGAAAAGTCAGAAGTAATGTCAATAGAAAAAAAGAAGACAGATCTAAACATAGCAATAGAATACAAAGACATTAAACAGGCATCTGAGTTTAAATATCTGGGAACTACATTTACCGAAGATGGGAAATTGGATAAAGAAATTAACATTAGATGAAGTAAAGCAAACCAAGTATTGGGACAGCTAGCCCCCTCTTACAGCTTAAGACAATCCCAATCAGCACAAAGAGACATCTTATTCAAAGCATATTTATTCCAACTCTGGGCTACCAGTGCCAGACATGGTCACTCACAACAAACCATAAAAGAAAATTAGTAACCACGGAAATGAGATGTCTGAGAAGGGCTGTAGGAGTGACCATAAGAGATAAGATCAGGAATGAGATCATAAGAGAACAAGTCGGCACAGAACCAATTCTGGATTACATACAAAGACAGCAAGTGAAATGGTTTGCCCACTTAGAGAGAATGCCCTGTGACACCATACCATGCAAAGCATACATGGAAAGAGAAGAAGAACGTAGAGCACGGGGTAGACCAAGAACAAGATGGAAGGATAACATCAGAGAAACTCTACAACAGCACGATGTGCCTATGGTCGAGGCAGCCAGAAGAGCTAGAAACAGAACCTTATATCTCCCTCGACACCCACAGCGGTAAAAGAGGAAGTGAAGAAGAAAAGAAGAAGAAGTGTGTGTGGTGTGTATGTGGAAGTGCGTGGTGTGTCGAGTGTGTGATGTAGGGGGTGGTTTTTTGAGGGAGGGGTGGTGTGTGTTGGAGTGTGTGGTACATGCGGTTGTGTCTTTGTGAGGGTGTGTGTTGTGTGGGAGTTGACTGTGTATGTGGAGGTGTATGTGGTATGTGCGGGCGTAGGTGTTGTGTGGAGTATGTGTGGGTTGCGTGTGGTCTGTATATGGATGTTATGTAGTTGGTATGTGTCATGGGTATGTAAATGGAGATTCCCATATGTTTGTTTTAATGATTTTAATTATGTGCATATGTATGTGGTGTGCGTGTGTGTGTTAACGCCTGAGCGTACATGTGTACATACACGACTGAACCACGTATGTGGAAGTAGTATATGTGGCCGGGGAAGGCGGGAGATAGTTATAGTTGTAAAGTGTTGAATACAACCAAGTGTAAGTTTACTGGTAAACATGTCAAGGACGTAGCTGTCTAGATCGGTAGCTCGGAGAACTCTTAGATACATACACTATTAGACAGAAACATAACTTTATAACTTTGCGATAAAATATGGTTAGGTAAATATGTTTGTGTATACGTGGGGTGTAGACAGGTATAGGGATATATTATAGGGGGGATCGTCATTAAAAGAGCATGATTTATGGGTGGGTGGTGGATAGAGATGTAGATTTGTTTGTATATAGGTGGATTGTGGATAGTGAGGTAGATATGTTTGTATATAGGTGGATTGTGGATAGTGAGGTAGATATGTTTGTATATAGGTGTGTGGTGGATAATGAGGTAGATATGTTTGTATATAGGTGGATAGTGATGTAGATAGATTTGTATATAGGTGGTGGTGAATAGAGAGGTAGATATGTTTGTATATAGGTGGTGGTGAATAGAGAGGTAGATATGTTTGTATATAGGTGGTGGTGAATAGAGAGGTAGATATGTTTGTATATAGGTGGTGGTGAATAGAGAGGTAGATATGTTTGTATATAGGTGGTGGTGAATAGAGAGGTAGATATGTTTGTATATAGGTGGTGGTGGATAGTGAGGTAGATATGTTTGTATATAGGTGGTGGTGGATAGTGAGGTAGATATGTTTGTATATAGGTGGTGGTGGATAGTGAGGTAGATATGTTTGTATATAGGTGGTGGTGGATAGTGAGGTAGATATGTTTGTATATAGGTGGTGGTGGATAGTGAGGTAGATATGTTTGTATATAGGTGGTGGTGGATAGTGAGGTAGATATGTTTGTATATAGGTGGTGGTGGATAGTGAGGTAGATATGTTTGTATATAGGTGGTGGTGAATAGTGAGGTAGATATGTTTGTATATAGGTGTGTGGTGAATAGTGAGTTAGATATGTTTGTATATAGGTGGTGGTGGATAGTGAGGTAGATATGTTTGTATATAGGTGGTGGTGAATAGTAAGGTAGATATGTTTGTATATAGGTGGTGGTGAATAGTGAGGTAGATATGTTTGTATATAGGTGGTGGTGAATAGTGAGGTAGATATGTTTGTATATAGGTGGTGGTGGATAGAGAGGTAGATATGTTTGTATATAGGTGGTGGTGGATAGTTAGGGAGATATGTTTGAATATAGGTGGTGGTGGATAGTTAGGGAGATATGTTTGTATATAGGTGGATAGTGAGGTAGATAAGTTTGTATATGGGTGTGTCGTGGATAGTGAGGTAAATATGTTTGTATATAGGTGTGTCGTGGATAGTGAGGTAAATATGTTTGTATATAGGTGTGTCGTGGATAGTGAGGTAAATATGTTTGTATATAGGTGTGTCGTGGATAGTGAGGTAAATATGTTTGTATATAGGTGTGTCGTGGATAGTGAGGTAAATATGTTTGTATATAGGTGTGTCGTGGATAGTGAGGTAAATATATTTGTATATAAGTGTGTGGTGGATAGGGAGGTAGATATGTTTGTATATAGGTGTGTGGTGGATAATGAGGTAGATATGTTTGTATATAGATAGGTGGTGAATAGTGAGGTAGTAATGTTTGTTATAGAGAGGTGGTAAATAATGAGGTAGATATGTTTGTTATAGAGAGGTGGTAAATAGTGAGGTAGATATGTTTGTATATAGGAGTGTGGTGGATAGTTAGGGAGATATGTTTGTATATAGGAGTGTGGTGGATAGTTAGGGAGATATGTTTGTATATAGGAGTGTGGTGGATAGTTAGGGAGATATGTTTGTATATAGGAGTGTGGTGGATAGTGAGGTAGATATGTTTGTATATAGGAGTGTGGTGGATAGTTAGGGAGATATGTTTGTATATAGGAGTGTGGTGGATAGTTAGGGAGATATGTTTGTATATAGGAGTGTGGTGGATAGTGAGGTAGATATGTTTGTATATAGGAGTGTGGTGGATAGTTAGGGAGATATGTTTGTATATAGGAGTGTGGTGGATAGTTAGGGAGATATGTTTGTATATAGGTGGTGGTGGATAGTGAGGTAGATATGTTTGTATATAGGTGGTGGTGGATAGTGAGGTATATATGTTTGTATATAGGTGGTGGTGGGTAGTGAGGTGGATATGTTTGTATATAGATGGATTGTCGATAGTGAGGTAGACATTAGTGTGTATAGG